AGTAGTAATGCTAGGAGTAGTAATGGTAGGAGTAGTAATGGTAGGAGTAGTAATGGTAGGAGTAGTAATGGTAGGAGTAGTAATGGTAAGAGTAGTAATGGTAGGAGTAGTAATGGTAGGAGTAGTAATGGTAAGAGTAGTAATGGTAATAGTAGTAATGGTAGTAGTAGTAATGGTAGGAGTAGGAATCGTAGTATTAGTAATGGTAGGAGTAGTAATGATAGGAGTAGTAATGATAGGAGTAGTAATGGTAGTAGTAGTAATGGTAGGAGTAGTAATGGTAGTAGTAGGAATGGTAGTAGTAGCAATGGTAGTAGTAGCAATGGTAGTAGTAGCAATGGTAGTAGTAGCAATGGTAGTAGTAGCAATGGTAGTAGTAGCAATGGTAGTAGTAGCAATGGTAGTAGTAGCAATGGTAGTAGTAGCAATGGTAGTAGTAGCAATGGTAGTAGTAGCAATGGTAGTAGTAGCAATGGTAGTAGTAGCAATGGTAGTAGTAGCAATGGTAGTAGTAGCAATGGTAGTAGTAGCAATGGTAGTAGTAGCAATGGTAGTAGTAGCAATGGTAGTAGTAGCAATGGTAGTAGTAGCAATGGTAGTAGTAGCAATGGTAGTAGTAGCAATGGTAGTAGTAGCAATGGTAGTAGTAGCAATGGTAGTAGTAGCAATGGTAGTAGTAGCAATGGTAGTAGTAGCAATGGTAGTAGTAGCAATGGTAGTAGTAGCAATGGTAGTAGTAGCAATGGTAGTAGTAGCAATGGTAGTAGTAGCAATGGTAGTAGTAGCAATGGTAGTAGTAGCAATGGTAGTAGTAGCAATGGTAGTAGTAGCAATGGTAGTAGTAGCAATGGTAGTAGTAGCAATGGTAGTAGTAGCAATGGTAGTAGTAGCAATGGTAGTAGTAGCAATGGTAGTAGTAGCAATGGTAGTAGTAGCAATGGTAGTAGTAGCAATGGTAGTAGTAGCAATGGTAGTAGTAGCAATGGTAGTAGTAGCAATGGTAGTAGTAGCAATGGTAGTAGTAGCAATGGTAGTAGTAGCAATGGTAGTAGTAGCAATGGTAGTAGTAGCAATGGTAGTAGTAGCAATGGTAGTAGTAGCAATGGTAGTAGTAGCAATGGTAGTAGTAGCAATGGTAGTAGTAGCAATGGTAGTAGTAGCAATGGTAGTAGTAGTAATAGTAGTAGTACGATTTGAGGCTGCGGATTTTATGCGTCTGAAACGGGTAGATCGAATGCCCGACAGGAAGCACGTTTGAAGAATTTGAACTTGAAGTTGTTGGAAAGAAAGATGTAAATGTCTGTATAACTTCCCAAGCTCGCAATTGTAAATTTATAAGCAAAAAATATGTTCCTAGAGGCAAACGGGGAAAATCTCGCCCGCATCTTTTTCAAGAATTGTATATTTTTGTCATAGTCGTGTAATATAGCTCAGGAGATATGTTGAATCTAAGGACCTGTAACGCCAAAACCTTTTCTGTGACCTCGAGTACCAAAATTAGCTAGAGATAGAACAATAGAGGTCCACCTCTACGAGATTTGCCTCATAACTGTAAGCGCGACACCGTAGAATAGGAAAATAATAACAATAAGAAAACGTTAAGATGCGGTTTAGTTATACTAAAAGCGACGAAGAAAGCGCAAATGTCAATTGAACGCTAGCTTTCTAATAAGGACGGTTTCTCAGGATGTACAAATTAATTTTACCATTAGCATTTATCGTTATAAGTTTTACTCTTACGAACGTCGTTGACATGCGTATTAACTCCATTTAATATTCGGACACTCTTTAAAACGCGATAACTTTTTTGAGACTAGAATAAACGATTTGATTATATTTTTCGAACGATAGAGGGACTAGTATACTAGACAATGACCGAAGAACTACTTTGTTACAATTTTGCTATTACTTGAAATAACGAAACGAAATAGAAGACTCTCGTTTCTTTAACTTTTTTATCCGAGGCTATAACGAAAATTTAAAAAATACGTTTTACGTCAAGTTACAAGCGTTAAAAGATTGTAATATAGGCTCGGATAACTGTATCATATATTATCTGTGATAAGCTCGGATAAAAGAGTCGAAGAACGGAAGTTTTTTATTTTCTTTTGTCATTCTGAGCAATAGCAAAATTTAAAAAAATCATCATCCATCAAGTGGTTCAGTCCAATTCTAAAAAAGTTATCACGTTTCGAAAAATATATGAATATTAACGGGAGTCACTGTATGTGTACGGATAAAAATATTTTATTTTTTTACTTTCTATACGTTTCCATTATACATTGTTATGTGTATTGTATATATATTCTATATTGTACGGTTACTTCACGCATGTATGTTAATGCATTCCTAATTTTCCATCCGATGTGGGAAAATCTAAGTTAATAATATATTTTACGTCTTCCAAATTTGCACCATATCCAAATGTAATTTCAAAAAAAAGTGTACAACATCCACCATTAAGATTTCAATTACATATGTATTCTGCTCAGACGAGTACGGAAAAGCACAGAAAGTAAACGAGATTATCGAGAAAAGATCGTCTGAAGACCATTTTCGCGGCTACTTGTGTGGCCAGAGTTCTATAGAATTACAGTTGAGATATTTGAGGAATTATAACGACAAAGTGATTCAATTACATTATAATTCGATTACATTGCAATTCGTAATACAAATTTACATTCAATTAAATCACAATGTAATTCGTAATTCAATGGGAGTACAATTACAAAATACAAAGCAATTTGGTTACATTAATTACGGGTCAAATTAATTAATTATCATGTAATTGACTTAAAATTACGAATTGAGATGTAATCGACTTAAAATTACGAATTGAGATGTAATTGAATTAAAATTACAAAACGCAGAAATGGATTCACACTTCGTCAAAGTTCTGGTCTCTGATTTGAAGAACTGTATTTAGATTACATTGTATTTCAATTGCATTACATTTCAATTACCACTGTGTTTTAATTACACTGTGTTTCAATTACATTGTATTTCAAGCACACATTGTATTTTAACTACACTCGTGATGGAATTCGACAGCAATCGAATTAACTAAAATATTTGAATTATGTAATTAAATTACAATGTGTGTAATTGAACTACAATGTAATTGAAGTACAATGTAATTAACTTATGTAATTGAATTAGTGCAAATTGTGGGCGAAATTTAACTTCATTTTTCCAACGAATATAAAATGTTTTCCGCGCGAATGACGCTCGCGTTACTTTCCAACCCCTTGCCGTACCATTTTCTTCACAGTCGCAGCGATCAGAAGTTTCTCGAGTGTAATCATTTCTAAGAAGAAAAACGACAATTTACATATATTTATCGCGCGTCTACATCTACTGAAATGTTTAAATACCGACGACGAGAAATCAGAATTTTATTCGGACCAAAAACAAAAACGGAGTATCAATCATACTAAAACAGTTTATTACTAGAAATCTCCATCGTGTGTCAGACTCTCGTCGACAAGGGGTTAATTATAGGATTATTTAAATTATATTTTTAAATTATAATATTATAGATAATATTATAATTTAATAATTATGTAATATTATATCATAATAATTATACACATAATGTGTTATAATTCGTCGGTCGTTTCCTATTATAATTTTATATATATTATAATAATATTAATATTTTAATATTAATATATATTATTAATATACTAATATATATTATATAAAATTAATTGACCGTGATAACTTATAATATTTAAATTATATATTAAATATATTATAAATTACACATTAATTTAAATTTATAATATAATTATAAATATAATTATATTATAATTTCTAACGGTCAGTTTTTCAGAAACGACCGGACACATATCCGAAAGAGCCGTGTCCCGTAAGTGAATAAAATTTGAGTACCTGTGGCCCGCCGAGCTGGTTGGTCCTCGGGGTGTCTGCCGTCGCGCCCCCTACTGTGACGACACTGACGGGTCTCGGGGCATTCTCGGACAGGGCCCCGGCCATCGTACGACACTGCACATCGGACTCCGAGCCGCCTTCCCTTTTGCTTTCACGAGTTCTCTCGCTATCGCGCCTATCCTAAACACCAGTTTTCCACGCTCCGCTCCTATTCTCCCCCCGCGTCCGTTCCCCGGCGCATCGTGATCCGCTGGGTGTACAGACCGTTGTCCTTTCCGCGGCACCTCTTTTCGCTCTCTCGCTCTCCTCTCTCGATCGGGCGGCACTCGTCTCGCTGTTTCTCTCTCTCCTTCTCATTTATCCCGGATTCAAACGTTTCCTTTCTTCGCCGACGACGCCTCTCTTCCGCTTATCATTTCCCCGGCCCCTTTGTCCGTTTCATTTTTCTTCTTTTTTTTTACAGTTCGCGTCTCCCTAAAATCGCGCGAGCGCACGGCACGACACGGCACGGCCGTATTTTCCACGGCTTTGTTACTGTCTTTATTCGCGCCTCACAGACGCGCCATGCGCCCCCTCTCCCCCGTTGTCCATGTGCGCTGCGAAATATCTGTGCCGCCCGCCGCCACCTTTGTGTGTCCGGCAAAGCGCGAAACGTCCGCTTTTGTCGTCCCTCGCCGATCCGCGCGCGCTCCGCTTTAATCTCACATTTACCTCCACCCGTCGCTCTTCAACCCCTTCCACCGAGACGTGTTTCGGACGTCGAATTTCCGCGTTCGCCTCTGCGCGTCTCTCTCTCTCTCCCTCTCTCTGTTCACTTCTCCCGGTGACACCTGTCCAGAGATTCGGATAAGCGAGAGTAGCGGCGGAAACGATTGACAGCTTCTTCGAGGCCGAGCGATACCTGCAAGCAGAACACGAGTTTGAGGGTCTTCTCGCAGGGGGTGGCGTTGCCGGTGACAAAATTGCACTCGAAAGGGTGATCGTTCAGACGTCTGGGCGACGCGAGCTTGATGATTCTAACAGTTGCTGCGATTATAGTTTGTTTTTTTAATTAAGTTCGTATTTGTCGAATGAGACGAATTTAATTTTGTTACCTTTTTCTTTTCGCACACACGCACACGGCATTGTCAAGTTTTTTTGTAATTTTTTCATTGCGCGTTTATTTTAGGATTAACCCTTTGCGCTCGAGTGGCTACTCTAAGGCGCCATTGAAAATTGTTATGTTTCGAAGCAATTTTACAAATTTAATACAAATTTGCTTGTATTAAAAAGACTGTAAAATACGTAGCTGTTGCACGAGTCGCAAAATTCAATTTCATATGTATAAAATGCACTAGATTGTATAAAGTGTAAATATTATAGGTTAGAAAAACTATTTCGAGTTAAAATGACTTCGACTGCAAAGCGTTAAGAAGTAAGTATACGGTAGATTCTTCCTAATTGTTTAAATTACAATATTATAAAATAATAAATAATAAATTTAGAATTTAAATTACAATGTAATTCGTGATAGCAGTTGGAATGCAGTTACGAATGCAATACGAATTGTAAGTGATCGAATTACGTTAATTAGTTACTTAGCTAATTAATTACTTCAATTGACCTCACGAACCCCTCATTTCCCGGAAGTACCATAATTTAATTTGGTTAATATTTGGTTAATATTAAAAAAATTAAATTTGTCTTATTTTACGTTAATAAATTCTAATCGTTCTTTAGTATTTTAGTATTATTCGTCAAAAAATTTCCGAATTTTTCTATTATTTAACAAACGTTCGTCACAAGTGAAGATATTATTATAAATTACTATAAATTACTATAAATTATTATTATTACTATTACTATAAATTATTATAAATTTAAGTGAAGATATTATTTTTAAATTTTACGACACGAGTGAAAAGAAATTTTCTAAATCTTTAGATTATTCAACGAACGTTCATTGCGAGTAAAAACGTCATTTATAAACTACTTCAATAAAATTCACGGGGTTTAGGAGACAGCCGCGCGAAGACGTCTGCAGACATCGCAGAATCCGTAGAACCTCGGGCGGCAGCTCGGCCGTCCCCGCCTTCGATCGCGCAGTATTCCCGTTCGTCTCCTCAATTTTCTTTCTTTTTTTAAATCGACGAACGCGCGTATGCAGACTTTTGTGCCAGACGGTGCACTTCGGTCTGATTTGTTGAAAAACACGACACAAAAGCCGTTATTAAAGTTTATCCGAGAGCTTTCGCTTGTCTGTGCCCCGCTCGGATGCGTCCTCTACCAAGCGGCCGGGGGCTTTATATTCGGAGGGCGAAAAGAGGAAAAAGAACGGCAAAAATGTCGAGACAGGAAAAGTAGACGTCTGAATGGCGGCGGAAGTTAGGAAATGGAAACGCGAGGACGAGAGATGTCCTTTCTTATTCCGTGCTCTACGCGGCTCCGTGCGCCGTGATGGCTCGAATAAGCGACGAGTCTGACGAAATTGACGGAAAATCGAACGCGTCCGATGATGAGCCGGAAGGGAGGTAGGGGCGGCTACGTTTGTTAATAGAAGGGGGAGGGGGGGGGGGGGACAGCTAATANGGGGGGGGGGGGGGGGGGGGGGGGGGGGGGGGGGGGGGGGGGGGGGGGGGGGGGGGGGGGGGGGGGGGGGGGGGGGGGGGGGGGGGGGGGGGGGGGGGGGGGGGGGGGGGGGGGGGGGGGGTGGGTTGGGGGGGGGGGGGGGGTGGGGAGGGGGGGGGGGGGGGGGGGGGGGGGACAGCTAATATCTGCTCGAAGACTGGCAGGGGAACGGACTGAATCCGCATATGCCGCTTTCGATGAAATATAGCACGGGGGACAATATTTGATGTGTATCTTTTTCATTGGCTACCGCGCCGTTAAGGGGGATGAAGAGACCCTGCGAGCGGAGATCTCGGAGATCTTATTTTAGGACCTGGAGAATCGATGTGAACTTTGTGTCGCCGAGAGAAAAGATTAAATTTTCATGCTGCAGTCTGAATTTCTGAAGACTCTGCAAATTATCGTATAAAGATAGAATAAACTTTAGTTTATTATTTTATTATTTAGTTTATTACTTATATATTTATTTAGGTTAACTTGTCGATTAAGATAGATCGCATTATTTTATTTTAAACACGATCGTTTATTTGTCCAAATCGAACGATATACGTAGAAGACGAAAGTTCTTGAAATGCCAGAAAAAATGTTTCAATTTGTTGACACTGTGTTCGCGATATTTTCTGCGAAACTCGTGAAAATGCTTCTGCACGAACGGCGATCGATAAGAGAAGCTTTTATAAAATTGTATGGATTGAATCTAAAATTTAGCAGAAAATGTTAAATTGACAGATTAAATGTTCGATGAAATAAATAAATCATTCTAAGCTATCACTATGTTAATTGTACTGCTAGAATATATTAAGATTACCGCAAAATATTGGGTTGGCAACTAAGTAATTGCCGATTTCAGTTATACATGTCTCTCACTCCCATTTCTATGATATCCGTAAATGTTATATTATAAAATTATTATTATTATTATTGTTACTTTTTATTATCCGTGAATGTTAGCAACTGGACAAATTGAATGCAGCGGTCAAGGAAAAGCGACCAGAATTGGTCAATCGTAAAGGTGTCATTTTTCAGCAGGACAAAGCTAGGCCGCACACATCTTTGTCCACTCGGCAAAAATTGATGGATATTGCTTGGGAATTGATGTTACACCCACCATATAGCCCTGATCTCGCGCCATCGGATTACCACTTATTTCGATCCCTGGACAACTCCCTTCGTGGTAAAACTTTTAACGATGACGACGCTGTAAAATCTCACTTCACTCAGTTTTTGGCCGAAAAGGATCAGACTTTCTACGAGCGTGGAATTTTCATGTTGTCGGAGAGATGGCAAAAGGTCATCGAACAAAATGGAAAATACATTACAGATTAAACTTCGTTCCAAGTAAAAAAAAGCTTTTTATTTCATTGAACAAATCGGCGATTACTTAGTTGCCAACCCAATAGTTTATTGGAACAGTAAGTAGACTATAAATATCTTCATCTTCTCATTTAATACAGTATTCGAGAAGTAAACTTTTTTTCTGATGTATTAGTTACATATAGAAATAGCATTTCTCCTTACCCGAACATTTATTTTTACAATATTCTGGTATCCGAACGTTCTATTATCTAATCATCGGACTGCAGATCTTCGCGCAAAATAAAAATTCTTTGCACCAATTGCAAGACATAGGAGAGACAAGCAGAAGTTTCCTGCATTCTTTAATCATTTTAATAAGTTCAAATTAATACATCGGCGTCCTTAGTTTGTTTGCATTTTTACTGTGCTTAATCAACTGCGCTTACCAATTATTGCCATAAATGTATAAAAGCAATTATTGTATCTCATTTAGATACGTTATCCCCTAGAACAGTGATCGTTCGTTCGAATTTTTGCTCTTATCGAATTAGCAATTAGCAATTAACTAGCAAGTTAACACGTTCCGTGCCGAGCTTTTTTTACTCGAATCTTCACACTTTGATATTTTACTAAAACTTGATGTATTACGTGCAATTATTAATTCTCGTACACATATAACAACGTAACAAAAACTTATCAACGCCCATTCTTGCGGTGGAAATTGATTCTTCGGTTCTAAATTTCTTGTAAACAATTTGTTCAGTTCACTAAGTAAACATGCAAGCGTGTACCATCGATGGTACACGTGGCACGGAACGTGTTAACACTTTATCGTCCGGTCGTGGTTGAGGCTGCCATTCAGTAAGAATTGGCTTAGTCGCGCGCGCATTTGCTCCCAGTACCGGCTAAATTTTCGCTATTCATTGTGTTGTGCTTATTCCTTTAAAAATAATAATAAATAATAATAATTATTATAATTATAATTCATAAGGATATGGGGAGGTCAGCATACAGGAGGTCAGCTACTAACAAAACAGTAAAGAAGCGAAAACCGTCGATAGCTAAAAGTCGATTAATAGGCTATCGGTCGATAAGCATTGGCGATCGAAAAGCCGATTAATAGGCTAGCGATCGATAAACATTGGCAATCGAAAAGCCGATAAATAGGCTAGCGGTCGATAAAGTGTTA